ACCACAATAAAACACTCTCTATACGCCCGCCTTAGTAGTTCGTCTTTGTTTACATAAACATCCCTATCCTTGGTAGCACTAGCACACTGCTTGCTCGTTGACGGTTTCGCTGGTTTAGGAGGTCCCTGGACATATTTCAGTTCGGATTCGGCATGCCAGAAACAAACCCCGCACAAACAGCAGTAAATTTTGCCTCGACTGTTGACACCACGCCCGGAGTAGTGCCGCAAATCAAAATACGAAACATGCGGAGTAGCCTCCGCGTGTATATTTGGTTCACGGTTCATTCGCCCGATTAACACTCGTTAACGCAGAAAAGAGAAAAACCGCAACATAGATAGTGCTCCAAGATACTAAGATGTAAGTGCTCAGTCACGAATTTCAAGCGCTTGCTTAAAGATAACTATTTTTGTTTTATCAAATTTACACGTAGCTATATTCGGGTCCTGACTCGCGAGAAAAAACGTATTCACAAGTTTGTGCAAGGCCAACTTTACACTCCAAATGTCGGAACAGAGAATTTGGAAAGTGTCAGGAATAGCTAGATTGCATTCATTCAATGATATAAAATTCTTGAAAAAAAACTGCAAATTAACGACCAAAGTCACGTCGTTACCTTCATAGTTATCTCAGAAAAAGTAATATAATTATAATTAGAAGTTACTTCTTTTCTAAGTTAGAAGTTACCAAAAAGTAACAACGTTACTGTAACGCGCTACTACCCAAGAGTCATTAAATTATGGTAGGCTAAGTTCATCGAAAGAAAATTAATTAGAATAATACCTAATCTCACACGGAACGGAAGCACAGCAAACTTTTTTCAGCGATAGCGGATCCTAAATATATTTTATCTGTACAAGTTCAACCTCAACTGCATTTACAGATCTGCTGTACTTACAAACAACGTCTTGGTACTTAAAATTCTGAATGAGAACAAGCTTTTCACACACTATAATACACGACATACAGAAGCACCGTTTGTCCCGACATCTCGCACAACATGTGAACATCAATCAATAAAACACAATCTACCTGAATTACTAATACAAACTGGTATAATATTATGTCATACCTGAAGCTGTCACAAAGTCACATATCATTTTCCAATTTATGATGTTCCCACTCACGAACGCTTTTTAACCCAATGAGCTTTCGCTTGATAAATTATTTGGTTTATGGCGTGCACAGTTCTTTTTGCTCGTTTTTTTTTTTTTTTGCTTCTTTACATACGCATCACTGTTCCCCCTGCCGTCCGTACGGGGGCAGGGACCTCCGTTCCCTCGAGAGGAAATAAAGATTTATTAGTAATATTGTAATTATATATTTATTATAATTAAAATTATAATAATAAAAATGAAAATAAAAAAAAACATAATTAATATTAGCATCATCATCATCATAATAACCAACATAATCAAAACCATAATCAATATTATTATTATTATTATTATTATCGTGTCTCGCTGACATAGAGAATAACGTTAACGAGTTACACGGGTATAATATCTTAATCTTAGGTGATTTTAATGCTCCAAGCATTAACTGGACGCAGTTTAATGTTTCTACTGAGAACTTTTATTTCAAGAAGAAAGGCAACGACCTCCTAAACTTTGTTTATTTTTTTAGATCTTGCACAACGCAACAATATTCCTAAGCACCAAAGTAATGCTTTAGATTTATGTTTCTCAAACATGGATTGCGTGCGTGCAGCCCGAGGTGAAGTCGTTATGGTTCCTCGGGATAAGTATCATCCCGCCCTTGACTTAGTGCTTTCTTTTAATGATCCCTCGATTCGCGCTCCTATTAAGGATTCTCCTCCACGCATATTATACAATATTTCATCAGGAGACTACATCGGGGAATGTTCCACCACTTCTCGAGTGTTGATTGGTCTCCGGTCGTACAATCCTCTGATGCAAATGAGCAGGTACCTCTCTTTACGAGATTAATTCGACAGGCTATGGACAGATTCATCCCTTTAAAATCTTTAACTCTTCGCCTAGCGCAAAAGTTTTGAAAAAAAAAATCGATCTGAAAATATTAATTTGTTTGTTCCCCATAAATTTACTATGCATTACAAAGGCCAAAAATAAATGCCAAAAATTTATTATATGACAAATCTTTGAACACACTGCAAAAGAAAGGGAGACTAAACTTAAGCTTCACTGCATTACCACAGACAGTCCACATCACCTTGCAGATGGACGTTCAGGGCGGGCGTAGAAGTACTGCAGACAGTTCACATCATCTTGCACGCAAAGGGAACGCAAAACGTGGAGGCGCTGGAGGGTCATCTTTTTGTTGATTCTAGTCCAATGCCAATGCGCCGACACGATTTCCTCATCAAAACTGGAGTCGTCTGACCTAATATCCAATAACTCACTTGCATCGCTCTCGCTGTCCGACGATATATTCATTTCCTCGTCTTCTGAACCTCGAGAAAGGTCACAATATCTTCGTTTTGCCCCAATTTTGAGGCAAGATCGTATGAACGCAGGGACCAGAAGTTGACGCTGCTACTTTCAAATCCATTGCTGCCTGCGTTGGAACAATTTGCCAAATTCAGAGATTTACATATTTGATTTTCCGTGAAGCGCCATTAATCTACGGCAAAGCTAACTAGAAACACGTGGACTAGCCCAGTTCGCCCATGGCAGCGAATCGGAGCCCGAATCAACGTGGGCAAGCCCAGCTCCTCGTCGGGGGGAGCGGTACAAACAGTGTGGACGAACCCAGGGCGTCCATGGTAGGGAAAGTGTTAAAGAAACCTCGTTTTTCTAATTGGTTTTCTAGTGAATAAAAACGCTACTAAAAGAGAAAGACTTCTTCCACAGAAAGGTTAAGGAAAGTGGTCTCCCAAAGTGGGAGGTAGAACTCAAGAGTTTCGGAAAGAAATGTAAGATAATGTTAAACAGTGACCACCTGGCGAATCGTGACTCAGTGGAATCTGACTGTGTTAAAAATACAAAGAACATTTTTGAGGTGCACCAGACCACGTTCCGAGAAAGATATCAGATAGACAATAATCTTGAATCACCATGAAAGAGATGCGGAGTGCGTGCGCGAGTTATTTGCAGATCATCTTAGTTTAGCCTACAAAGATAGTACCGTCTGCTCCTCCGCCACATTGACTCACTTGGATGAATTCGGTCACCTACTAAATTGCATTCATATCGACGAGGAATGTGTAAAGCCAGGTATTAAAAAAATGAAAGCCTGTCTATCTGCGGGGCACGATGGTATACCATCTGCATTTCTCAAAACGTTTCATGATACACTCGCACCTACACTGTGTGCAATATTTAACAACACATTAAGGTCAGGAGTATCCCCCGAAATGTGGAAGATTGCCGTAGACGTTCCGGTTCTGAAGTCGCGAAAGAAAGGTGATGTTCTCAATTATAGACCGATTTCCCTTCTGTCTTCATTTTCCAAACTCTTCGAAACAATCATTCATCAATTCTTATCTTTCAAATTTCGAAACGTAACCTTCCCTAACCAGCATGGGTTTATGACCGGCAGATCAACGACTACAAGTATTGTAAGTTTTATGTTATACCGCATCCCAGGTAGCCTGCAACAGAGGTCAGCTAGACGTCGTCGACCCTGACTAAACCAAGGCGTGGGACGTTGTAAATCACGCGATCCTTTTATCAAAGCTATCCACTTACGGGGTTTGTAGCACAGTACACGATTGGTTTCAAAGCGATTCGTTAAACAGGAAAGCGTACATTTGAGTCAACAATATGAACTCTTCATTGTACGAGACAAGTTCTGACGTTCCTCAAGGATCTGTTCTAGAACCGCTCCTGCTCACAATTTTTGTAAATGAAGTCTCTGATGCTATTTCTACTTCTTCGTTCCTGCAATACGCTGATGACATTAAAATTTACAAAGAAATAGTTACTTTAGATGATTGCGCTAGGCTTCAGGAAGATTCATGTCCTTTCTTTAGGTGGTGCTCAGTCAATATTGTTCTCCTAAACCGTGCTAAAACCAAGGTTATGACACTTACTCGGAAGGCACAAAATGTACATTATTCACATACAGTATTCACGGTGAATCCCAGTTCTGGGTACGCGCACTGAAAGATCTGGGAGTCATGTTCCATCCTAGCCTGCGATTTTCTAGTCAAGTAACCAGGCTCGTTCACTCGTTGTTGCCTCTCGCTTAAAGGGCCCCTGAAAAGAAAAAAAAAAGGTTTTTAAACAGTCTGGTTGGGACACGCGTGTCAAAAAATGAATTTTACGCGAAAAAAAAAAATTTTTAGAGCAATATTGACGGCGAGAGATTTATTTGAAGTTTTGCGCGCAAATTCCATGGTTATTCAGCTCGGCTTCTCATTGGTAGCGATGGTCATTCAACTCAGCTCCTCATTGGCCAATAGAATGAGTGACAGCTTAAATGTTGGTTTTAAAATCTTCGTGATTTTTTTAAATCGTCTTTTGAATTACATATTTTTAGGTTTAAGAAACGATCCATTGAATGAACGTCGTAATTGTTTACAAACGTTCTACAAAATCGTAACTTCCGTTCGGATATCGGAACAAACAGAAGCTTCGCCATTTTGTTTTCTGTCATGGTCGCCGTCCCGTAACGCGTCTCGCGTACGTCGTGTACCTCGGGTGGTTTTATAGTTTTATCGCGTTTATATGTGAAGACCTCCTGAAGAAAGCTTGTTGCTTGTGTTAGTTAGTCATCGTAAGTACTTAGGAAGTTGCGCGGGGTACCAGGTTTTTTTGTTTTTCTGCTCTTTGCGTGATTCGTGTGTCCCGTTTACCCCATCTTTTATCTGTCTGCTGGTGCGCGCCAGTGCCAATATTTTTTTTTTTTTTTTGAGATGTTGGTTTTTGTAAAGCGGCGGCGATGTCGGTTTCCGTAAAGCGGCGGCGCTGTTCCGTCAGTTGCTGCAAGCCTAGTGATCGCGATGCCGAGTGTATCAGCAGCCATGCTGTCCCAGATCATTTGAGAGCTACTTGGCTGGAGGCAATCGGGGGTTCGTCTAGCGACACAGTTCTTCGGGTATGCTCGCGACATTTCGCTCCGGATGCTTTCAAGACGCGCACAAAGGTCACGGGACGTCTGCAACTGAGACGCGGGGCGATCCCTACGCTGTTCTTACCGACGGCAACAGCAGCAAGTGCAACATCATTGGTAAGTGACTCAGTCAAACTTCATTGTCTACTTCGCTATGATAGAGCTTCTAGTATTACATTGTCGCTTTTTCAAACTGTTGTGCGTGCAACTGCAAATCGTTGTAACGCTCCTAACTGAGGTTCACTGCGTAACTTTTACATAAGGTAGAAGTTGCAAACACAGCTTACCATCAGTGGCCTTCTGTGGCAACCAGATTCTCCACTAAACGAAATATCAATAATACATCAATACATCTTCTTTTATATGTATTCCAACCAGCTGCCAAGGGGATCAAAACTGAAAAGGCTAGCAGCTGCGTCTAGCAGTGACAGCCCTGCTGGAGGCTCCATTTCAGTGAGTTTTCTACCGCTTCCCAGTGTGCAATGTATATTGGGTGCAAGCTGCATGTTCTACAACAATTATCTTGCGCGCAGCAACCGGCAGAAGCGTGGCAAGGGCAAGCGGCTGCACATGGATCCTGCGATGCTAGTCAAGGAGCTGGACCAGATGTACGAAGCCTTTGTACCGTTCTGGTGACATTTTTTACTGTGGCCATTCAACCCTTTCATTGATTTTGAGAGCAGATTTTTATATGCATCAGGCACACAGACAGCAGCTGCAAATGTTTACTTTTCTGTAGGTTGCTCAACTTCTCAGCTGACCCAAATAGAGTTGACTCTGTGTGCAGGAGCATTATATTGCACTCAGCCTCCCTTGCATTGTGTTGTAGGCTTACTGCTCCCGGTGTTCTGCCCCTCGTGCAACCGTTGGCACACAGACGGACACTACAGGAATTGGCACCGTAGATCGTGTGACACCAGTGTGTGAGTATGACAGAGTATTTAATTAACTTAATTATTTTGGCAATGCATCAGCATGTTGACAGCCTTTTCTGTAGACTTCATACTAAGCTTGCAATATGTATTGCATCTCTAGCGTCATCGGTCGACCAAGGGTGCACCGCCGCTGTGCTCGCACCACAACCAGATGCAGGGTCCCCAGGAGCGCCCAGACCAGTCGAACCTGCCACAGCTACCAAGGCTCGGGTGCTGTTGCCAGTCCCCGGCACGACAGGCGCTACAGGAACGGCCACTGTTGACCCTCTGACACCAGTGTGTGAGTATGACAGAGTATTTAATTAACTTAATTATTTTGGCAATGCATCAGCATGTTGACAGTCTTTTCTGTAGACTTCATACTAAGCTTGGATTATGTATTGCATCTCTAGTATCATCGGTCGACCAAGGGTGCAACGCCGCTGTGCTCGCACAACAACCAGATGCAGGGTCCCCAGGAGTGCCCAGACCAGTCGAACCTGCCACAGCTACCAAGGCTCGGCTGCCATCGCCAATCCCCAGCACGGCCCCCGGCTTCGGAGCCCCGGACGAGCCCACCAGTGAAGTCGCTAACCGTCGCAGCTCCACACCCAAACCATCTGAGGACGACCAAAGTGCAGAGCAGGTAAGTTCTGGCGATGAGCCGAATATGCCTTGGTACGCAGAGAACAACGATGGGCTGGAGGACATGCCAGATGACTCCGGTGACTCGGACAGTGAAACGAGTTCCGACATGGAAGAGGGCTCAGACCTCTGCTTCCAAGCTGCGAGCGACGTGGGCCTGGGTGAGGAGTTCCGCATGACTCGTACAATGCGAGAAGAGGCTACTTCACCGGAGGTGTTTACACAGAAATTTGTTTAAAGAAGGCTAAGCATCCAGGTTACTTTGCTGGTGTGACTGGTCTGAGATGATAGCTGGGCAAAAATTTAGCATTGGAAAAAAAATCTGTCAGAAGACCACTGTCTCAGCAGTGTTTCCCATACTAATGCTATGCCAGCTCCTAATCACTTCAAATATCCTTACATTGAAGACGATGACACGGAGGACGAGTATGATGCGCCTGGTGAACCCGACAGCTCCTATGTGCTCCCTGCAAATGAGAGCTTCCTGAGATAACAGTTTTCAAAACATTCCAGTGTGTATTAAAGTTGAATTTACATTTCTAGTGATCAACAGGACCGTGAAGAGGTGCCACTCCAGAAAGAGGGCAAGTACATTGTTTTTGAGGGGCAGCTCCTGGAGCTCTTCCGGGTGTGCCACACGTGTCTTGCCCTTTGCCGCAACACCACTGTAGTGAAAGGCAGTCTGCTGACAGTGACAAGCACCTGTGAGAACAAGCACACGAGAAAGTGGAGGAGTCAACCGATGCTGGGGGGCAAAGGAGCAGGAAATGTTCTCTTTTGTGCCGGCATTCTCTTTTCAGGTGCCCAGGTAGCGACTACCTTCAGGGTGCTCGAGTCACTTAACATTGCGATGATCACGGAGCGCATGTACTACTACTACCAGAGTGGTTACGGCTGCCTGTGGTGAAGCAGGTCAGCTAGTACTGAAAGCGGTTCTGAAAATGAAATGACAGTCTTACCCACTTAAATGCCATTATTGCTTGCCAGGTGTACGAACGACGCAACAGCGAGCTCTTGGAAGAACTACGAGGCAAGAACCTTGACCTGGCTGGCGATGGCCGCTGCGACTCTCCGGGGTTCTGCGCCAAGTACTGCACATACACCTTCCATGAGGCGAGCACCAAGAAGCTGATCCACATTGAGCAAGTGCAAGTTCGTGAGGTAAGATTTACTAACCGAGGCAAAAGTGGTTACTGTAGGACTGATATATCTCTTATTTACAATCCCTCATCTTTTGTTAAATTGTATAGTTTAAATGTATTTTGTCAGTGCAATGAGCATTCATGGGTGAACCAAAGAGAGTATTAGACACGACAGACCTTCTGTCTTTGCCGGTTGATGCAGCTGACAACAACAGATATGGCATTGACAGCGACTGCTGAACCATTAAATGTATACATATTGTAATCAGACAGCTGAAGTGCCCTCGAGCAACGCCATGGAGAAGGTGGCCTTCCTCCGCGGCCTTGCCAAGCTCAAGGATCAAGGCTTCACCATTGCCTCTTTCATGTCAGGTATATAAAATTTACCAGAAGAATTTAGAATCTGCCTATGCTTTTGGGCTCTCTACCACGCAATCCCTCTTCTGCAGTCCGTCACCCAGGTGTGGAGTGCCACATGAGGACCATGGAGAGTGGCACAAAGCGCTACTTCGACACGTGGCACATCTCCAAAGGTTTGTTGTGCACATTGTTGTTTGCCTACTGTGTTCCTACATGCTGTGGATAACAGATGCCCCCTTTCCAAGGCGTGAAGAAGAAGCTCCTCGCAGCAAGCCGGAGTGGCCCTTGCAAGGATCTGGAGGTGTGGGTGCAGCCGGTAAACAACCACCTGTACCACTCTGCTGCACTGGGTGAAGGAGATGGCCCACTCATGGTAAGCATCTGGATGAGCCTCCTCAACCACGTGGTCAACAAGCATGACGGCCACGACGGACCCTACCACGAGTGCCTGCACCAGCCGCTCTCCGATCGCGCTTGGCTAGCTGTCGGTGAGTTTACTATTTTGTTCATTGTTGACCATAGCCGTGCTGCGATTCTGATGTGGTGGGGTGAGGGGAGGGAGAATGGACATGCCTTGATGATGTCACATAGCTGTATATGTACACTGCAGAACACAGTAAGCACAAACATGGCATCCGCGCTTTTCCATGTTTTCCTCAAACAGGGTATTGAAAAGCGGTCAGTTTTGCTGCCTAACTTAGAGCCCCTATTGAGCAGCTTTCGCTTTACTATTAGTTCCTATGACAACCTTTCAGGTCTGAGAAAAGCCGGCAACAACTTGTTCGGGTTAACACTGTCACACTCTCTACATTTTTCAGGTACACCAGCTTACGAAAAGCTCAGGAGTATCGTTGCAAGCCCGCGGCTTCTCAAGGATATTCAGCACCTGTCCCCCGGAACTCAGACGTACTACGTGGAAGCCTTCAACAGCCTGCTGCTAGGGTTCGCCTCCAAATCTCGGGTTTTTTCACCAGAAGCGATGGAAGCAAGGTAAAGCTAAACTGGCCTAATGGTTCCTTCCTCTATTCAGTTGACCATTTCTCAAAAAAATTTGCTATAGGATATTGTCACAAAATCTTCCTTATCAAATGTGAACAAAAAATTTCGAAAGCGTTAGGTGGGAGACGACGAAGTGCTAGAAGAGGGCACACAGCACTTGCTTTCAGTTCCTGACCAACCGAGCACGGCTGGACTTCCCTTGTGTATACGAATACATTTTATAGGAAGTTCGTTACGAAGGGCAGAACAATGTATGGCCGTATAAAAGTATCGCAACCGGCGGCGTAGATTCACCGAGCTCTCTATTTTGCGTGTGCCGACGACGTTTTTTGTCGCCTTTTATAACAGATCCTTGCAAGGGCCACTCCGGCTTGCTGCGAGGAGCTTCTTCTTCACGCCTTGGAAAGGGGGCATCTGTTATCCACAGCATGTAGGAACACAGTAGGCAAACAACAATGTGCACAACAAACCTTTGGAGATGTGCCACGTGTCGAAGTAGCGCTTTGTGCCACTCTCCATGGTCCTCATGTGGCACTCCACACCTGGGTGACGGTCTGCAGAAGAGGGATTGCGTGGTAGAGAGCCCAAAAGCATAGGCAGATTCTAAATTCTTCTGGTAAATTTTATATACCTGACATGAAAGAGGCAATGGTGAAGCCTTGATACTTGAGCTTGGCAAGGCCGCGGAGGAAGGCCACCTTCTCCATGGCGTTGCTCGAGGGCACTTTGCCTTTGCACCGCCAAGCGAAGGGCTCGATTGCATTGCATTTCTTCGAGCAGCAGCACTGATATGTACAGTCACCCGCTTTTTCTTCAACGACCTTGTCAAGGCTTCTTCAATACCGGCGTCAAATAGAAGCGATCGTGCTCGCCATCGCCTGCTTCCAGTTTATTCGGAGACCGTCTGGCACAGGGGAGGAAGCAGAAACTGTGCAGAAGCAGGTTTGGAGCCGCGGGTTTTTTTGCCGTTCAGTAGGTTCAGTAGGACTCCGACTCGAGTCACTCCGTTCGGAGGCAATGGAGGCGCTACTGAACGCGCCCAATGCTGTAAAGCTTGCAGTGCAGTGTATTGAAGATGGCTTGCTTGGGAAGTTGCTAGTAAAATATCTGAAATAATGCCAACGTGCCCTCGGCTCCCTGAGGCCCCACGACCCCCACTTTGCGCACTTCTGCTGTTGTGCATTGCTTGTAATTGGGAGGGCAAGCCTGAGCAGAGCAAGGTCAAAAGTTCCGTTGGTTGTTTTCAAGCCAGCACCCTGTAAACAAGGCTTCATAATTTATCATCAAGTTTGGACTAGCTTTTCGATTTTGAATGTGCTACTCCATTTAGTGTATGAAATTCGTGCCCTGTTGAAACCTTATACTCTTGCGTTAATTCGGCCCCATGCTGTGTCTGTATTGTATGACCTTGGTGGCTGTGCTTCATTTCAACGAAAATGTCGGGCGTGAGCAAGCCACTACCAGGGAAGGGGAGCTTTGCTTCAAGATCGCAACACCCAGATCACGGAAGGGCCACTCAACGGCACGCCCGAAGCCAGCCGACGCAAATTTTTGTATGTTATTG